AAACAAAAGGGTCAGGGCCAGGGAGATAGCTCAGTGGCCTAAGCACCTGCCTGGAAAGCCCAATGTACAGAGTAAAATCAAAAAAAAAAAAAAAAAAAAAAAAAAAAGGGTTTTAGAAAACCACTGAGGGCTGTAAATCTCGGGGAGACACACTATGGCTTTTCAGTTTTTAAAAAGATCACTTTGACTAGAAAAAACAAATCAGGGAGAGCCAGAGACACAGACCAGTTTGCCTGAGTCAAGGTAGAGACGATAGGTAAGGGTGGAAGCAGTAGGGGTGGTGAGCATTCTGGATGATTTTTGAAGACAGATAGAGATCACATTTGCTAATAGTGTAGATGAAAGATATGACAGATGAAAGATATGACACCATGGGTGACTCTGTGATGGAACGACTCACAGTGGAACAACTGGAAAAGGGCATTGGCATTTCCTGGGGGTGGGAAGGTTTGGGGCAAGCTTGAGAAGCCAGTTTGACATTCAAATAGAGATGTCCAGTAGGCTTCTTGGTATGGCCATTGGAAGTACTGGGAGATTGGGGCTTGAAATATACTGTAAATTGAGAAGGCATCAGACATAAATGGTATTTAAAGCAAAGTACTTTCATTTGTTTGGGAGAAAGTCATTTAGAGTAATTTAGAGTATACCTATATTCTTATTGTGGCAGCTACATTGCCTTTGTTTTGGGGTTCCCACCCAAATCCTGGCCCTATATTTGATTTGTCTCTAACTGTGTAGCACAGAGGTAGACACCTAACAATGACCCAATAAATATGTGATGATTATGCAAATGGGCAGCGCTGCACAGAAGTGTGGGTGGAGTTTTGGAGTCAAGAGATCTGGGATTGGGGCTGGTGAGATGGCTCAGTGGTCTAAAGCACCTACTTAGAACAAGCTTAGCAAAGCCCAGGGACCACGGTTCAATCCCCCAGCACCACATGCCAGCCAGCCCTGCCTTCAGGCGGGCTGAGCTGGACACACACACACACACACACACACACACACACATAAATAAAAAAAAAACCAACAAGAGATCTGGGATTAAATTATGCCTCTAACACCATCACTGTTGGTATGAAATCCATTTCACTTTTCTGGGCCTCAGTTTTCCCCCATGTAAAATGAGGATAAACACCTATTTCACAGGACAATAAGACAATTGTACCAGTGCTTTTGAAGTCTTAGATCATGGTGCAGATGATTTTCATCATTTATTTATTTATTTATTTAGTTAGTTAGTTAGTATAGGGTTTACAGGGTCTCACTACACAGATCAGGCTCATAGTGATCCTCCTGTTTTCAGCCTCCCAAGTGCTGGGATTGCAGGCGTGTGTCACCACACCAGTCTCAGTTGCCATCTCGGTGTGCCCTGGGGACGGGGCCAGCATGGCACACCAGAGATTGAACCCCTGTCCCTGCACTTGCATAAGCAGATGCTTTAGTCTGTCGAGCTATCTGGCTAGCCTTTGTTTTATATATGTACTTTTTTTTTTTTTTCTTTCTTTCTTTCTTTCTTTCTTTCTTTCTTTCTTTCTTTTTTTGTTTGTACTGGGGATTGAATTTAGGACCTTGTGCTTGCCAGACAGGCGCATAAGCCAATGAGCTATCTCCCGGTCCTAACTGTTTGGTTTTAGACTCTATATCCTTGCAAAGGTGGTAGGGACAGAGGAAGCCAGGGCCACCCAGCTACAAGGACTTCTGGCTAACCTGACCTTCCCTCTCTTCAGGTGGTGACCTCCTTCAGGACTGGCTCGTGGGCTAAGCATGAGTGGAGAGAGGTTGGGGTTCTGCAGGGACTCTCTGTCTGTCTGTTTTCTGCCTGCCTTCTTGTATATGCTCTGAAGATTTTACCCTTTGTGTTGGGCGGACATCCCTGGATGCTGAGTCACCCTTTGAACACTGCTGACCTGGTATTCTTTTCTTTCAGGAGCTCTTGGATTGTTCTCTGGCTGCCTCCCTTGGACCTGAGAGCCTTAAGGCATGGGATCCAACCAGATCCCTCAGAGCTGGGGCTGCAGTCCTGAGAGGCCCATGCTGCCCTCCCATAGCAAGACTGCCCAAAGTAGTGACATAGCTTTTCCTTTGTGGGTGTTCATACTCACTCTACTGTGCCCATGGGGCCCTGTTAACTTACGCAAAACTTGCTTGGGAGCAGTGTGAGTCACTTATAATTCTCATGCTTTAATATTCCTGTCTGTGAAATGGGGATAAAAACACCCCTGCGCAGCCTTCTGTTCAGTGCTCTCTGGGTGAGGGAGTGCCGTGAGAGTACTTTGTGTGCTGTGAAGTGTCCTGCTGCCTGCACGGGTGGCTGTCTTGTGCTAAATGCACCCAGCAGCTGTAGGGAAGGCGGGGTGCAAAGGTGGTCTCTTCGTAGCTGTATAAATGACAGAGCCCAATCTTGGAGCCTGTGCTACCTTGAAAAACTACAGAGTACTTTCAGTGAGGAAAA